ACAAGCGGTGTGCCTCTGGGATCAGTGCTGGTGTTTTAATTATTTACAACCAATATTAATGACTCATGGTGGGGCTGAGCTACATTTGCTAAATCTGCTGATGCCACAAATGTAGGTAGGAAAATAAGTTATGAAGAGAGCCTAGGAATCGGAAAATGGATTTTGATTTCATTGAATGGGCAAAGATGGAGTATATTGTGGAAAGATGTTAACTTTGTCCTCCATGGAAAGTAGAATAAAAAAACAATATATTATTTATGTGGTGAGAGATTATAGAACTTTGCAATATTGGAGGGATACAGGTGTTCTGGTAATTGATTCGCAAATGTTTATTTGCAGATATAGCAATTAGGAAAGCAAATGGATTTTTTTGTTTGTTTATTGCAAGGAAAAGGGAATGTATTTTGCAACAGTTGCATAGGATGCTGGTGAGACCACAGTTGGAGTGCAATACAGTTTTAGTCTCCTTTTATGTTAGAAAGGAAATAATTGCATTTAAAGCAGTTCAGAAGAGATTTATTTGGCTGGTTCCTGACATGAGGGGACTATTGTTTTTAGAAAAAGTTGGATCTGAGAGAGATCTTATTGAACCACAAGATCCTGTTGGGTCTTGACCAGGTGGATGCTGAAACAATGTTTCCCCTCTGGCACAGACTAGCACTTGAGGACACAGTGGAATTTTTCCAAACATTCTACGGTGTAAACAATGGTGAGAAATTTGGGAAAATATGGTGAGATTGGAAAAAAATCTGACACTCAAGAAAAAAAAGTTACAATTTTCTCCTTTAAAGCTTAAACTGGAAATCTTGTTAGTAGCTGGGGACTTCCTTATTTCCATGCATTTGGTCCTCAATATTAGCTAGCCTCTCCTTATTTCTGTGTAGCTCTCGATTTTGCTCCTTCTCTCTCTTGAGAAACTAGATGGTGATTCCTGACTTCAAAATCTGAGTGGTTACTTGGTGAATGCAGCTTGCCACTTGTTGCTTTTCCCTTTGTTTTAATGTCTCTTTGCCGGTGTGTGCTCCATGTACAACTACCTCCTTCACCCTCCATCCACTAAAGTTGTTTTGGCAAATCACCAGCCTCTCTCACATTATCCTGGCCAGCCTAGGACCAACAGAATCCACTTCAGTCCTTGAAAACTTCACTGTAGAACTCTGGGATATCTTTAAACGTGCATGGTCCTGCCAGGTCACTTTGCACACAGGCATAGATAGCCATCTCATGCATCTACTCGGGGTGCATCTTATAGCTCTTGGCTTCATTTCTTAGTGCTCAGTCACTCTGCACTTATTTAGGGGCTACCAGCCCCTGTGGATTGTGTAGCTTATTAACCAGAGGGTAGGAGGCGTTGGTAGTTGTGGAGGATGAGAGCCATTGAGTGGGGATGCTGCATGCAGTAGTCAGGTTGGTAGCAAATGAGCATTGGTGAGGTTTATGAACAGTTCAGGTGAGTGAGAGATGAGAGAGAAAATGGTGATATTATCCATATGGAACACAGAAGATCATTGACCTTTTCCCTGTCATGCAGTATGTTCCATCTGACTATGGAGACAGCATTGACCTAGACCGTTATGAGTGTTTTAAGTATTTTGTGTTTGGTGCCTTGGTGTCCTCTGGTGATCTGCCAGACAATGATGGCAAGAGGCTGTCTGTACACTAATAAGGTGAGGAGCTGAAGGTACCATCAGAAATGTCACTGTGAATCATGATGAGATATCTGCCATGAGACTCCCTGAAAAAAAATCTGGCCTAAAAATGGAAAATTTCATCACACTTTTAAAGATAAGGGGTCTCCATTTAAGATAGATGAGAATTTTTTCTCTGCAGGCTTGGGATTCGGTGAAACACTGTTCCCAAAGTGTGGTGGAGGGAAGATCGTTGAATATTCTTAACGCAGAGGTAGGTAGACAGATGGAGTGATTTTAATTGATTCTTGGCTAACAAGAGACTTGATTGGTATCGGGGTATGCAGGGAAGTGGAGTTGTTACCACAATCATATTGTCCAGAATTTAATAGTTCCTAATCTGTACGTTTGTAAGCAGTTCAGACAAAGTTTACTTCACTGGGATGGAGGGCTTATCCTACGATGAAAAATCAAATCGGTTGCGTCTATACCTGAGCTAACAAGGTGTAGAACTGGATGAACACAGCAGGCCGAGGAGCAGGAAAGCTGACGTTTCGGGCCTAGACCCTTCTTCAGAAATGGGGGAGGAGAAGGGGGTTCTGAAATAAATAGGGAGAGAGGGGGAGGCGGATAGAAGATGGATAAAGGAGAAGATAGGTGGAGAGGAGACACAGGTCAAAGAGGCGGGGGTGGAGCCAGTAAAGGTGAGTGTAGGGAGGGGATAGGTCAGTCCAGGGAGGACGGACAGGTCAAGGGAGTGGGATGAGGTTAGTAGGTAGGAGATGGGGGTGGGGCTTGAGGTGGGAGGAGGGGATAGGTGGGTGGAAGGACAGGTTAGGCAGGCAGGGACAAGCTGGGCTGGTTTTGGGATGCGGTAGGGGGAGGGGAGATTTTGAAGCTTGTGAAATCCACATTGATACCATTGGGCTGCAGGGTTCCCAAGCGGAATATGAGTTGCTGTTCCTGCAACCTTCGGGTGGCACCATTGTGGCACTGCAGGAGGCCCAGGATGGACATGTCGTCTAAGGAATGGGAGGGGAAGTTGAAATGGTTCGCGACTAGGAGGTGCAGTTGTTTGTTGCGAACTGAGCGCACCCGAAGGTTACAGGAACAGCACCTCATATTTCACTTGGGAGCCCAGTGGTATCAATGTAGACTTCACAAGCTTCAAAATCTCCCCTTCCCAAAACCAGCCCAGCTTGTCCCCACCTCCCTAACCTGTCCTTCCTCCCACCTCAAGCCCCACCCCCATCTCCTACCTAATAGCCTCATCCCGCCCCCTTGACCTGTCCATCCTCCCTGGACTGACCTATCCCTTCCCTCACTCCCCACCTACACTCACCTTTTACTGGCTCCACCCCCGCCTCTTTGACCTGTCTGTCTCCTCTCTACCTATCGTCTCCTTTATCCATCTTCTATCCGCCTCCCCCTCTCTCCCTATTTATTTCAGAATCCCCATCCCCTTCCCCTCCCCCATTTCTGAAGAAGGGTCTAGGCCCGAAACGTCAGCTTTCCTGCTCCTCGGATGCTGCTTGGCCTGCTGTGTTCATCCAGCTCTACACCTTGTTATCTCAGATCTCCAGCATCTGCAGTACCTACTATCTCTGGGTCTAATACCTGTTGAAGTTCAGAAGAAGAGGAGGTGATCTTACTGAAATATGTCAGATCCTGAAGGGACTGATTGGGTGGATACCATGAAGTTATACTTTCCTGTGGATGAGACTAAAACTAGCGGACACAGTTTAAAAATGGGGTGTCTTCCTTTCAAGACTGAAATGAGGAATTTTTTTTTCTCTGAAGTTTGTGACACTGCGGATTCTCATCCCCAGAAAGTAGCAGAGACTACTGAATTTATTCAAGGCTGAGTTAGATTGATATCAGCCATGACCTTATTGAATGACAGAATAGGCTCAATCGGTTAAATGGTCTATTCCTCCTAAACACTGTATAGACAAAAGGAAATGGGCAGTTTTTTAAGCTAATGAAGAGCACTTGGTCCTATCTCCAAAACAATGTCTGTTGTGTTGGGGGCGGGGGGTGAATTTTAGGCTGGATTCTGGTTTCTAACTTTGTCCTTTCACTCTGCTTGAAAGTGTCCATTCTTCATTTGTGATCCTTGATTGATTGTTGACTGGCTATCATGAAAAGCATTACAGAGGAACTCAATCCTAAACTTAACTGAGATTTATGCATACACTTCCAACAGGGGTCATCAGATGACTATCTGGACTGGAAATCTTTGGTTAATAGCATACACTCTGCCTCCAGACTCCAAAAAGAATTAATTTGTCTATGCATGTGAACCCTTTTCAAATGTTTTTGCATTTAGTAACATGAAAAGGTTCAACTTTTGCATAGCCCATGCACAAATTTGCGTTGCTGCATTAACTACTTCAAGGGAAAATTGGTCGGTGCACTAATTGCAATATTCCTGTTGCAAGCTGCATTCTGATCTGCATGAGTCAGTCGCTCCTTGGAGAAACTCTCAGAACCATATGAGTCTAGCAATTCTGTTCTTAAGTTTTATCAAGTTACTTTTGTGTGTAGTTGAATGATCTATTTTTAACAACTTTTGATGTCTGTGTTTGCTTTTGTAAGGCAGGGACCAGATTTTCCTTAACTGTAATCTTTGACGTCTGTTTGCACCCCATGTTGCAGTCTTTGTCACTTGGAAGAAGTGGGTGATGTCCCTGAACACCACCACCTTTTTTCTGATAAGTTCAGTTTTTGCAGCCTGGTTTCCATTTTCTGTGAAGTGCCAAGCAATCATTCTCTGTTTTTCGGATAGCAAAAAAGTTTTCCTTAATTTAAAGGAAAATTTCTGAGCTTCTAAGGATGAGGTCGCAAGCTTAGCTTTCAACTCTACTCCTGCTGCTATAATATCAGTGCCAACAAGTAAAGGATAATATTTTAACTTTTGTACAACAAAGTAATTAGATACTGTGTGTATGATGCTGCACAACCTGCCTTGTGGCCAGATAATCCTTTTTTTTTTCGGGCAGTTGTACTACTAAAACTTGTTCTCCCAAATTTGGACAGCTCCATGACACTTCTTGTTCACACTCCCTCTTTTGGTGAGTTGGCAATGGGTTCTTGACAGTTGGGAACATTGAAAAATAACATTCTCCAAAGAGAGATGGTGGTCCAAGAAGAGAAAACATAATGAGAAAACTGTGTGTTTAACAGAGAAAATAGGTCTGGCTGTCACTGCTGCTGGTCGGAAAGGATTGTTCATAAACGGAGATCTTTCAGTCTTTTTTTCCTTTGGTTAATAGACTAAAACTTGTAAATTCTTGATGATCAGATGCCTTTTATTTCCATAGCAGATGCCCCACACTATCCTAATTGCTAATTAATTTTTATTTTTAAAAGATTGTTGCCCAAAAGCTTGAATTGGCCCGGCAGTTTTTGGAACACTTTGACCTCTACCTCGTCTGTGAGCTTCCTAATCAAGGATACTCTGGTAAGGTCCAAACTAGTTTAATTCTGCAGGGTGTTCAAGGCATTCCTTGTGGGAGAAACGTTATCTTCATGAGTACATTTTGCCTTGTAGTTTTTAGATGTTTGAGTTGGTAAAGTCCTATATAAATGCACATATTACATCTTTCACAGCTGATCATTGACTTACCATGAGGCTGCAATTTTATTCACTGAATTACTCTAAGAAATGCTCATTGTAGAATTGAAAATGTCTGTAGACTGAGATAACAACTGCAAAATCACAGTGCACTTTATTGGATGTAGTCCAATTATGGGAAAGCTCCTGTCTCCCACCACCCTGCTCTTATCTAGCTCATGGTTTATAATTGTCTCTTCAAATGAAATTAATGTATATTGTTTCTCAACTCACTGATATATTGCCCAGCAAATATGCCATCTTTGTGTTTTTCTAGTTCTCTTATCTCTTAAACTCAGATTAATAGAAAACTTTGAAATTATTCAATTTTTCACAATGCAATAGCGGCAGCAATAATATATTTTATACCATATCATTTAAGGATCCACGCTTACTAAAACCTGAACAAATGTGCGTATTCGGTTTACTTCAGCTTCTCTTAAATCTCTCTGACTTTATAATTGTATTACACTCTTCAATTGCAACTAATGCAAGCAAAAAGGCAACAGCACTTAGTGATTATCTCTAGGCCTGCACGGTTGCTCTGAAGACATGAGTTCAAGCCCATAGCGGTAAGGAAATTTTAAGTTTTATATTAATTAAATCTAGAGCAAAAGGCTTATATCAGTACTGGTATCTGTGAAATTTAAGATTATCATAAAATGTATCTGCCTCATGAATGCCCTTTAAGGAAAGAAATCTATTGTCCTTGCCTGGTCTAGATGTGATACTAGATGCACAGTAACGTGAGTGGCCCTTAACTGCCCTCTGAAATGGCTTACAAGCCAATCATTTTTATCATAAGGGTTGAGTGATACAGATTAATATAAATAAAATTGCATGGAGTCCCTAGCATTGATGTAATCACTGGACACTTCGATAAGACACACTGTTATGGTTTGATAATGAATTCTGAAGGATGTAACAAAAACTCTATGGGTTAAGTGAGTCAAATTAATATGTTTGTTGGCAGTTATATATAATATTATGTGGCAATGATTGATTGATTATATTGAGTAGTAAGATGCACTGAGGTGACAATAAGTCTCACTGTCTTCAAGTTGCAAATCCCAGTCTGAGGTGAAGTCTGACGAGTGTGACAGAGTCCCTGATATTAATAATATTCTGGTTACGTGCAGTATCATAGTACTTTTGTACATTTCCAGATATTCCATTGTACAGACATAAGTTGAAAACACCATCCAAGTGGCCGTGTGTCAATTAGATAAAAGAACGGTTCCCAAAGACAATCAAGGTTATGCAGTTACCACACAGCCAAATTTAAGTTGTTTTTGCACTAGGCCAGTAATCTTCCACTTGTCTCCAAATACTCATTGTCATATCCAATTAACCCTTAACAATCTGGTTTGAAGATATAATTTTTAATCATATCACTACACACACCCAACCCCGTAGAATTTGCAAAGGCCATTTTACTAACACCTGTCACCTTTGCTAAAATCCGGAGACCTGTCCCAAAGACTAGTCAAGCATCAGATTCACAGAACCCCAACAGTCAGACATCTTGGACTTCTCCATCACCTGGGAATGTCCTATCCCAACGGCAGGATGGACTCACCGGTAGTGCTGGCACCGTGGTATATAGTCAGTAGGGACTAGCCGTGGGGGGTGTTTTCAATATTGATTTCATACTCACAAAGTTTTATGGCATCAAGTCAAAGGTGGGTGAGGACACCTTCTATTAATTTACCAACTACCAACCTCCCTTGAAGGATGAGTCAGAACACCACAACAGTACTGATGGTGGCAGGGGCACAGTATGTACTCTGAAAGGGGGTGGGCACTTCAATGTCAGTCACCTAGAGATGCTCAGTAGTAACATGGTTGAATAAGTTTCTTGAGTCTTCGAGCCATGAACCTGCAGCAGTGGTGAAAGAATCCATGAGGAGAAAACTTTGCTTAACCTCATTCTCATCAATTTATCTGTCATAGTTCCATCTTTGCATGATAGTATTGATAGGAGTGACCACAGCATTGTCCTTGTGGATAGAATGGCCTGTTTTCACATCATATTGTGTGGTACTACTACCATGCCAAAGGAGATAGATTCCGAACAGAAACCTGGGCACCAGCTGGGTGCCGTGGTCAGCAGGAGCAACTTTAATACCACCATAATTTGTAATCTTATAGCTTGGTATTCCCTTGGGCAATCACTACAGTCTAGCTCAGGAACCAACACTGGTTCAGTAAGGAGATGAAGACAGTGTGTCATGAGCAGCATCAAGCATACCTAAGAATGAGCTACAAAAAAGGATTGTAAGCATGCTATAGAAAAGGCTAATGGATCCCTAACCAATGGATTGGATGAAATGTCTGCTGTTCTACCACAACTAAGTGAAGGGGAACTCCATTCACAATGATTGAGCACTCCGCATAGTGCTAAATTTAAAAGCTAAAACATTTGCAATCGTTGTCAGCCAGAAGTGCCAAGTGAATGAGCCGTCTCGGGCTCACTCAGCATCGCAGCTGCCAATCTTCAGAAAATTCAGTTTAGTCAAAATTCATCCCCCCCCCCCCCCCCCCCCCCCAACAACCCTAAAAATTATTTCACTATCATTAGGTCTGAATGCTGGAATGACTCTCTAAACAGCGCAATGTGTGTACCTACTACACAAAAACTGCAGTGCTTCAAGGAGGTGGCTCAGCAGCACCTACTTAGGGCAATAAGGCATGACTGGTCAATGCTGGCCTTGCTAATAATATCCACATCTAATAAAGACATAATTATATGTTGTTTTTATGTTAAAGGTGGCTATAAAATATTATAAGGTGTTATCAACAATGTGGCATAGAGCCCTACAGGAAGTTTTGATGACTAGAAGCTTTGTGAAAGTAGTAGTTAGTAAGGAGTATCTTAAAGGAGATCTAGGGAGTTTAAGTTTAGCAAGCTTGGACCTTCAACTGAAGGCATGGCTGCCAATGGTGGTTCAATTAAAATCTATGATGCTCAAGTTCCAGTAATTACAGCAATGCAAATATGAGTGTTGAGAGAGATTAGAGGTAACAAACGGTGAAGCTTTGGACAAATTTAAGAGCAAAAGTAAAAATGTTAATAATGAGGCCTTGCATAACCTGGAGCCTTTGTAGGTCAATTAGCGAGGGAAATGAGCTTTGGTGTGAGCCAGCACATGGACCGCAGAGCTTTGCAAGATCTCAATTTGGGAATTAGGGGAGAATGTGGGAGACACTAAAAATGCATCCGGAAAGTCAGATCTGGGGGGAACAAAGACAAGAGGTTGTAAAGGGCATTAGTAAGACCTTTTCTGGAATACAGAGTCCAGTTCTGGTCACCCTGTTATAGGAAGGATATTGTGAAGGTTCAGAAGAGATTTATCAGGATGTTGCTTGAATAGAGAATTTGAGTTATAAGGAAAGTCTGGAACTTTTTTCACTGGAGCATAGAAGATTGAGTGGTGACCTTTTATAGAAGTTTATAAAATCATGGGGGGGTATAGATGAGGTGAATGGCAGATGTCTTTTCCCTCTGGTGAGGGATTTTGAGTCTAGGGGCCATATTTTTAAGGTGAGAGGAGAAAGATTTAAAAAAGACACAGGACAGTTTTTTTTTAACACAGTGATTCATGTGTAGAGTGAACTTCCAGGAGAAAGTGGTGGATCTGGGTACAGTTACAATGTTTAAAAGATATTTAGATAAGTTCATGAATAAGAAATGTTTGGAGGGATATGGGCTGTATGCGGGGGTGGGGGCTGTGGGGCAAGTTTAGTTTGGGAACATGGTCAGCGTGGACTGGTTGGACTGAAGGGTCTGTTTGAGCTGTATGATTCTATGACTCTTCGAGCAAGGGTTTCAGCTGAAGGAATGTTAAGGTGTTGGGAAAAGTGGTTTTAATGGCTGCACAAATGTCTGGTTTAAAAACTCACCTCCAGGACCAAATATCACACCTAGGTTGAGCCTTAGACAGTATCAGTAGTTGAGTGGAGTTTGTGGTGGTGATGGAAAGCAATGTCTTCAGTTTTCCCAATATTTAATTTTGGGAAGTTTCAGCGTTTTCTGGTTTATGATCCTATGAAAACTGTCTTATAATTTTGGCAACACTGGAGTGGCTGAGGTAGAGCCCTGTTGTTGTTGTGCTTTTGGATGATTTTGCTGAGGGGCAGCATGTAGCTGAGAAATGGAAGGCGGGGATGAGGATAGAAATGTAGGGGTCACCAGAGGCAATGATTTAAGAGCAGGCATTAGTGATTAGAAGAGGAGACATTAGTGATTCTCTGGCTATGATACAATACATAAGAACTGAGTAAATACAGTCTCGGTCAGGTAGATGACAATAGAGAGGCAATGGAGGAAAATGCTGTGGTTAACAATAATAGTTTGCAGGCAGATTGAGAAAGATGAGGACTGATAGTTCTCAGTGACCGTAACACAGGCAAACATCATTGACTTTGAAAATACTGTTTCAATACTGTGATAGGAACAGAAACCTGATTGTGTTAGAGTCACATGGATATAAACAACACACATCTTCCAAAATGAAAGTAGAATAATAATTATGTTGAGGCAATAGCCTTTACTGTCTGCTAGCACAAAGCCAGGTTAACTATAAGTATTGGTCTTGAGCAGACTTTGTGTGGAAGCCAAAATCATATTAGAAATGGCTATAAATCTCATTCTTTGAAATGGGCAAATATTGATAACAAGTGCTCTATTGTCTTGAATTGGCTGAGTAGGTACAATCTATTGGTAATTGATCACCTCTAACTAGAGAATAGAATTAAATAGAGCTGAGCTGTTGTTCTGTAATCCAGTATTGTAAATAACTCACTGCTGAGTTGTAGATCTCTGACACAGATGGTATCTTCATAAAATGAAGTGGTTTAACTGTGTACCTGGTCACTTTTTCTAAACCCTTGACACAGTTTGTGTGTATAGTCTACAAAACCTGTCCATGTGTGTTTTTAAAAAAAGGAAGGCCGAGAACCTTGCAGCTAAGAAGAAGGCATTTAGCCTTGTGCCTGTATTGGCTCTTTGGAAACGCTGTTGAATTAGTTCCACAGCACACCTCTTTTCACATAACCACATCGTTAAAACTTCCATTAAAGCAAATTGAACTTTGGAA